TGAAGGAAGGAAGAAAATAACAGAGATAATGCTCCGAACTAATAGTGAACACATTCTGTATAAACTCATCCTGTTATTCAAGCAGGATTAACTTCCTCAAGTGGCACTGATTCTTCAAGTGGCACTTTCCCTTGGATATGTTTTCTATAGTGGAATTTTGGGGCAACATGTCCTTTATAACAGAACTCTATTGGTTAAAAATATTTGTAAACCACCTCCTTATGGTTAAACCAGATAGATCTTCCTGTTTTCAATTAAATAGGATATGTTTTTCAACTTCTGTGTCAGTTGTTATATTTATGCAATGCGATAAACATTTGTTTTTTTCTAACTTTAATGTGTGATCTGCAGTTTCATGAGACTAACCTCATTTCACAATCCTTACTTTTTGAGAAAATAATTAGTGCTGATTTTTCCATTTTAAAAATTAAAATTTTATAACAGATATAGGCAGAGACATATTTTAAAAAATAAAATAATAATACAGAGTCTACAAAGAAAATCAAAAGGCTTCTCACATTTACCCACTACTCAGAGGTATCCACTTTTAACCATTTATGTTTCATTCTTCTGTTAGTTATTTTTATAGTTTAAAATGCTTATATTACTATGTTTTCTTTTAGTTTGAAATTATTTCTCCATGCTGTGAATACAGGAGATCATTGTTCACAGTTCCACCTTACTCTCCCTCTTCTTCCACTGTTTGATAATTATAACACCATTTTACTTCTTGTACTGCTTACCTCTGTTATTTTAAATGATATACTTAAACTCTTGTTTCTTATTTCACCAACTTTTGACTATAGCTTTGTAAGATGAAGGTATTAGCACTTCTGTCTTGCTTAATTAACCCTTTTAGCTCACAACTCCCATCAGTCACACGTTCACTTTTCATTTTAGGGGTTATAACATTTCTATCCTAGTCTGGGCGCTTAGTGTAATCTTCTTGATGTTATTAATAGAGTCATTTTATAGTGGCAAAAACCAGTGGACAATCCAGGATTTGTACACAGGTTCCTTGGCTGTGAGTCCATGAGTTAATTTCTGGTACCAAGGATAGATGAAGGATGATTCCTTTCTTTGCCCCTTTTTCCTAATTTCTTCTCTACTAGGTTTAGAGTTCTTTGGGCAGCCACTCTAGATTTGTTTGGTTCACTCCTATCCCTCCCATGTCTCAAAACTCCCAACACATGCAAAGTCTGTGTGTCCTCCCTGATGTGTGCACTTTATCACTTGATTTGCAGAACTTTTCTCACCACTATTCCCCTTCCTATCACCATGCAACTCCCCGCCACCCACTTCTCTGAGCCAAGATTAAGGGAAGACAAACAAGTCTTAGTCCAGCTCTGTTTATAATGGGTCTTTCATTTTGCAGTGTAGAATGCTAGACTGTCCAGTAGAGAGGGCAGAATAAAGACTCAGTCATCCCCTCTAGCCTCATGACAGGGAGAGTATTTGTACCCTTTGATTCATATTTTTTAGGTCTTGTCAGAGTTGCCCACAGTATGATGTTTTCAGTTCTTTTTCAAGGGTACCCTTGCCAGAGCGGAACAGCCACTGAATTGAGTCTTTTTGTGGTTTCTGGTGGGACCAGGGCCAAATCGTCTGACTAAGACATCTGAGTCTGCATTTAACGCACTTCATGGAGAGCAGGAGCTGGTGTGGCAGCTATAATATAGTGTGTTCTCACCCAAGAGATGGCAGGCAAGAGGGCATTGATGATAGGACATGGGGTTGTCAGTCTTAATGCTGTTTCTCATCCATGTACAGATGTCACAGAAAGAAATTTAAGAAAAGGGCCTGTTCTGGAGGTAGATGACACTGAAAACACATCAAAGGTGGAACAAACCTGCTGATGTGGGTGAAGACAAACATGTTAGTGTTGGTCCACATTCCAAAGGCCAGTGCTTGCTGTGGGAGAGGGGAAGGAAACAGCAGCAAACTACCCATTGATAGCTTCAAAAAAATTGAATTTCCATGTTTGGGTTTCAGTGGCTACCAGAGTACATTAGCAGGGAAGATCAAGTGGTCAAGGTGCCAAAGAATGAAGCTATGTGACAGTAATCTGTAAGTGATTTTCAAGTCTACAACAAATATTTTATAAGCCTTATAATAATAACTACCATGTACTAGGTACTTAGTTTCTGTCCTTTCAATTATTATTATTTGTATACTACAGGTAGGGAAGTCAAGATCCGTAATGGCCAAATAACTTGTAGAAGGGCACATAGTTATTAACAGAAGCTAGTTTCAGACAGATTTTTGTTACTCCAGGGACTGTACTCTTTCTACCGCACTGTACTCTGAACACTGCTGTGTGGGGCTTATATCAGAAGATTTTTTAAAAAAGATTAATAATGCCTGTCACCCATTGAATGGATATGTACGTTGTGGCAAATTGTCATTAATCTATAGCAATGAGAACAAATGAACTAGAGCTGTTGTTCACCGTAACATAGATGAATCTGAGAAATACAAGGTTGAGTTAAAGAAAAAAGAAAGGCACGAAAGATTACCTGCTGTATGAATCTATTTCTATAAAGTACAAAAACAGGTAAAACTAAGTGGTGATGGTAGAAGCCAGGTTAGTGGTTATCGCCAGGAGATGGGATGTTACTGGAAAAAAAAAAAAGAATCACAAAGGAACTTTCAAGGGTGCAGGTCATATTTTGTTGTTTTGACCTTGGGTGCTAATGACATGGGTGTGTTCAGTTTGTGAAAATTTTTTGACATTTGTACAGTGTATTTTTCAGAATATATGTTATAATTTCAAAAAATGGAAAATAACATTAAAAAACCTTAGTATCTCCTTTTGTAGCATCTTCCACCGGCAATCCCTGTTTCTTCATACATGCAGGCAGTGACTTCATGGTTTTATCCTCTTGATTATCCTCATATATGGACCTTCTAACCCTATTATGACTTTCCTTCCCTTTTATCTCATATGTGAATTTCACTAAGCAGTATGTAGTATTGTTTTATATAATATACTGGTTAAGACAGTGGACTCTGGAGCCAGACTACCTGGGTTTGCATCTTGGCTCTTCAATTTGGTAGCTGGTGAGTGTAGGCAAGTCACTTAACTTCTTTTGACCTTAGTTTCATTATCTCTAATATGGGGTAAATTATAGTATGTATCACATAGAATTGTGGGGATAAAATGTCTTATTATGTGTAATATGCTCAGAGTAGTTTGGGACACATAATACACACCATATAAATATTTCCTGTCATTGATTTTCATATTTATAAGAAAAGGAATGATCTGCATGTGCTCTTTTATATATTGCTTTTTTTCTCATGGGTTTTTTTTTGTATTGTACTTTAGGTTCTGAGGTACATGTGCAGATCTCATGATTTCTTAAACAATTATCTTTTTTTTTTTTTTTTCGAGACAGGGCCTTGCTTTGTTGCCCAGGCTGGAGTACAGTGGCATAATCACAGCTCACTATAGCCTTAAACTCCCAGGTTCAAGCAATCTTCCCATCTCAGCTACTTGAGCAGCTGAAGCTATAGGCGCATACCATCAAACCTGGCAAATTTTTCATATTTTTATTGAGATGAGGTCTCCCTGTGTTGCCCAGGCTAGTCTCAAACACCTGGTCTCAAGTGATCTTTCAGCCTCGGCCTCCTAAAGTGTTTGGGTTGTGAGATGCTGTGCCAGGCTCTTTATCGTGTTGATGAATGAGTCATTTGCTTCCATTTTTTTTATGTGAGTGCAAGCAATACTCCTGTGACAGTGATTTACATGTCTCCTTGTGTACATTTCAACTCTTCTCCTGGGTATATACTTAGAATTTCTATGTTATAGAATCTATGCATTTTTACTAGTTGTGTTGCCAAATTGGTCTACAAAGTGGTTGTTTCAATTTATGTTAGCATTCATCACTAGCAGTATAAAAGTATTTTATTTGCTACATATTCAAGGAAAATGAGTTAGTTCAAAAAGATGCAAGATAATTTGATTCAACAAATGTATATTGTGTCTCTAATCCATATATAGAAAAGGAGGCAGTCACTCGTGGAGAGAATTCTACTGTATGCTTTTTTTTTTTTGGAGACAGTCTCGCTCTGCCTGGCAGGCTGGAGTGGTACAATCTTGATTTACTGCAACCTCCGCCTCCCAGGCTCAAGCAATTCTCATGCCTCAGCCCCGCCCAGGTAACTGAGATTACAGGCACATGCCAGCACACCTGGCTAATTTTTGGATTTTTGGCAGAGACGCGGATTCACCATGTTGCCCAGACTGGTCTTGAACTCCTGATCTCAGGTGTTTGGGAGCCTGAAGTTTCCCAAATTGCTGGGATTACAGGTGTGAACCACTGTGCCCAGCCAGAAAAGGCTCTTTTCACATGACTTTGTCTTTTATCCAGCAGAAAAATGTCTTACCAAAGTTGCCAGCTGACTTTCCCTAATAACTCATTGGCAATAGCAGAGTTGTGGGCCAACTCCTAGGACAATATTTAGAAAAAAGAAATAGGAGTACCAAAATTTCCCTTTGGCCTTAGAGAGGGGCTTGCTTTTTTTGGGAACATTGCTTGCCTGCCTGATACCTGAACAAATAGGAAGAAGGAGGATGGCTGTTGAATTGGCAATGAACAGTGACTGCCATCATGGCCTTTTGAGAATAGAGATGTTGGACTCTAATCAGGAGCCTCTGGAATATATTCAAAGGGCAGGAAAGATAAAAATACTGGCTATGTGTCTATAGTACTTTAATATAATAATTACAGAGGCACTTTCACCATACCTTGTCTTCCAAAGAGAGACTGCCTCAAAGACCCAGAGAGGGAATGTGACCTCTCCTAGGTTCTATGGAAAGCTAGTGGCAGAGCAAGGAATAAAACTCATATTCTTCTACCTTCATGCTCCTTATATCACTTTTGTTCCTCCAGCAGTTCTTAAGCACTGTTCCACAGTGAGCACGTCTATGCACACCTACCCTTGAAGTCTAAGGAATCTGAGAGGCTTAAGAAATAAGCTGACATACCCAGTTTCTGAAAGATAAACATTTAATAGATATTTACAAATAGAAGCCATAGTCTTGGACAGCAGTGAGACAAAATGGTAGATCCCTGTGCCATTACCCCCCTAGACCCAGGGCTTACATAATATAGGGAAGGAACATGTAGGACAGTTGAAGGTGACCTCTCCGGCAAAGACAAGAATGCTATGTGAATCTTTCTAAGGGCAGGATCTATGGTCAAGGTTATTTTGCGCTAAGGACAAAATTGATAACTATCTAGATAAAGTAGAAATCTTAGAGGCATTCCCAGAACAAAGGTTAATCAGAAGTCAATATAGTGGATTAGCATCCAAGATGAAGTTGCTTTAGCTTCTACAGGCACTTAAAAAACTTACATGGCAATGATTCCTGCCTATATGATGTAAGCATATTGTGGTTTAAAAATTTTTAAAAACTTAACTGAACCTGACTTATTACTATCCATTTATATTGTAGCTTACGTTTAGTAGCAGTAGATAACTTCAAAGTTATTAGTCCCACCTCACTTTACAGTTGAGGGAACTGAAGCTTAGAAGGTTAAGTGATTGACCTAGGGGCATAGATGGTTAGCAGGGGAGATGGGGTCAGAGCCCAGGTCATCTGATTCCCAGTCAGATGTAATCACCTATTTCTTCAGAGATATTCCATAAATATGATATTTTGGACAGAATTCTGTGAGTTCTATTTTTGTTCAAGTTATGCTGAGATACTCTTGTAGGCCCAATGTCTTGGCCCTCATTTAACCCGTTCCTGCTTTAGCCATTTCTCTTCAGAAAGAATCAGATGCACCTTTTTGCATCACAGTTTCCTTATCTGAAAAATATAAGGGGAATGAACTATATAGTTTATTTTACTTCTAAAGTTCTGTGATTAATACAAGCCAAGAGTAGAGTATAGATGGGTCTCTAGATTTCTATTTTGAAAACTGAGGGGTATATTTTTATTTTTATAAACTACTAGGCCAATATTTATCCAGACAACTTAGTTAATAGAACTGTTTTTTACTTGCTTGTTTTTTAACCAAAGCGGATGTTTAAAAATGTTGTCTTTCAACTGGCACTATGTTGTCAGTCTCACCAGGCACAGCAGTCTTCCACGAGGTCCCTCTTCCAAAGCCAGACTTCCTCTGAAAAAAGCTCCCCAGGAAACCGGCTTCTGCTCACAGTAGGATATGCCTGTCCAGAGAATATTTTTTCTTATTTACTTATATAGCCTCTGTGTGTGTGAGTCACAGCTGCTTATCACTTCCTTTGACAATTAGGAAGGGGCCGGCATTATTAGGTAAGTAAGAGGGGGAAACGGCCTGCACCCTAACCAGAATTCAATAGTTAAAAGGAAATAGTTAGCATATTGTTTTCAAAGCATTTATTTTTCTCTCCTTGATTGTATCAAGGAAGATGCCAATTCATCATCATCATTGCTATTCTTATGAAACACTCAATATATTATTAAATATTTATCATGCAATATCTTTTGAGCCTTGTGACAACTTAATGATGCAGCCTCTACTGTCACATTTATTTTGAAGATGAGAAAACTGAGGCAGGAAAATAAGAACTTTAAGCAAGCTGGTGTTTGAGTTCATTGGTAAACCTTCACATTGGAAGAAGGGAAATTGTTGGTAGATGATGTTGCCTGATGATATGTATGGCAATTTAATCAGGGCTCGGATTTTTGGTTCTTTAAGACATTAGCATCACCAGGAAATAATTTTCTGGGAATTCCAGAAAACCTTGCATATTGGTTAGATATCATAAGTATAACATAATAAAGCATCCCAAAATTCAGTGGCATACAGCAGTAAGCATTTATTTCTGGCTCACGCATCTATGGATTGGCTGAAGTAGTTTTGTTTTTTTCAGTTAGGTTCGACGGGGCTTGGCTCAGGCCACAAGTTCCATTTAGGTCTGGTCTATATGTCTCAATTTTTCAGAGATCAGAGGATCACCTGAGCCATTATCCTCAAGATGATGGCAGAAGTGCATGGTGGGTAAGCAGAGACATGTGGGTCTTTCAAAGCTAGGCTCAAAGTCAGCCTACCATTGCTTCCTTACAAATTCAGTTGGCCAAAACAAATCATATGATTGGGCCCAACATCAGTAAGGAGGTGAAATACAGGTACATTCTTCCTTTAGCAGAACTGCAAGGTCACATGGCAGAGTACATGGATACAGAGAGGTGGGGGGAAATTTGGGAACAATAATTAAATCTGCCATGCCTTGGCTGAAAAGTAGTGGTGGTAGGAAGTCAGAAGATGAGAGCTAGAAAAGATATTCTGATGGAGAGTGAGAGGTGTAGTTGGAAGATCCTTGTGGTTAGGCGGTCTGGTTTTGAGTTCTAATCATGACACTTCCTTAGTGTGACCTTAAGTCATTTTCCTTGATATTTGAGCATTAAGTGTCCATGTGATCTCTTCATCTTGTATTTTCATTTTCCAAATAAGGATTCTAAAGTAAATGGATGCAGTGATTAGTCTATGTTCAAACAGCCAGGTAGAATCAGTCAAGACTGGAACTTTTTGTTCTTTTTCTATTCCTCAATCTTCATCGCTTTAGAAGAATAGTTAATATTTGAGGACGGGGATTGGAAGAGGTTTCAGCTCTCCTCCTTTTCTCGTGAAATTAAAGCTGTTTTACTATAATTTTACTTTCCACATTGCCATGCATATCTGTTTTCCATTTTTTCAAAGGCCTGAGCAAAGAGAAGTAGGCCAAAATCATAATAGGAAGAATTGCAGTTCAGGCAGAATAAGTACTTTTTGCATGTAACTGCACTTAAATGTTGTATGTTATTAGGAAAACTGGTAACATTGCTGTCTCCAAAGATCTTTTAGAGAGGTATCTGTTGCTATGTGATGATGTGTTAAGTGGAGTTATTCCTGAAAGCAGGAATGACTAATGGCCTCTTCTATCTTTATGCTATTATAGTATATTTATATGTGTTTATTTGTCAGACATTCATATGCTCATACAGTACCAGGTATTCTTCTAAGAAGTTTACAGATACTAATTCATTTAATCCTCAAAACTACTCTATGAGGTAGGGAGTCTTACTTATTCCTGTTTTACAGATTTAAATAAACAAAAATACCAAACACAAATAAAAAACAACAACAACGAAAACTTAAGGCACAGGGAGGTGACATAACTTTTGTACAGTCAAGAGCTTGAAAGGAGCAGAGCTGGTACTTGAACCTAGGTTATCAGATTCCAGAGTCCACGCCTTTAGCTACATGGTACCTAGGTGTCAAAACTGAGCAGACCAACTCTGCTCCTTACTGGTTTTGTGACATGGAGTGAACTACTTCACTTCTCTGAGCTTTGTTTTCAACTCTAAAATGTGAACAATAATGATATTTGCCTCATAGGGTTGTTGTGAGGATTCAATGAGATAGTGCATAAAACATGTTTGGCATTGAAATATTAGTTCTATTTCTGTGAAGTACTTCTATACATTTTAAAGATGACTTTATAAGTCTTCCTTTTAACTTATAGGTTATAAACCCTTATAAGGTTTATAATCCTTGGCTTGATTGATTTATCTGTATGACTGATTCCTTAGCAGTCTAAGGCCATTTAGCATTGCCATTTTTGTCTGACACAGGAAAAGAGCAATGAGGCAATTTCCCTTGGGGCAGAGATTGAGAGCCAGTAACCTCATGTATCTTGGCTGTCTGGGAAGTTGCTGAACTGTGCCATCTCCTTTTTCTACACTTATCCTTACCTTAAAAATAGTCATGAATCTGAATTTTGTATATAATGTTTAAGGTGAATCTTACATTATAGCTTTTAGAATTCTTATTTGTTATGCTCATTATTTCTTCTCTGGAGGTCCCAGCAAGAGTTTAGGAAATCTTTGCTGGAGTGCCCTTGTGAAGAAAGGCCTTAGTTTGTTACATGCCAAAGTGCCATATCCTGCTGACAAGAAGCGTTCTCCTCCTATACAAAGAGTGATACAGTATTCACCGAGATCTCACAGCAGCCCTGCCTGTGCTGCATGCTGGGATCCTCCGGGACTGGTGCAAGTGGGTGGAGGAGGTTATATAAGCTCACATCTCCTTCCAAGTGGGAAGAGGCGAGGGACAACAGCTGTCAGCTCCACAGCTGATCTTGCCAGCCCAAGCGATCCCAGCTTTATTTGACCAGAGAAGGAGGCTCCTCAGTACACAGAGGGGAGATTTCCTGAACCACAGCCAATGTTTTAAAACTTTGGCAATTTGTGCTAACTTCCTCTAGCTAGGACAGGCACTTACTGGCTCTGGCTGCCTGAACATGGTGTTCTCGAGGCATTTTGTATCATCCTGAATTGGGCCCCAGCCAGCTGCTCATCTATAGGAGATTCTCATGAAATGGTGCAAAGCTCATTACCCTCAGACTTTTGGCTGGGCAGTTGTTCTTGCATCAGTGTGCACTTCATTACATTAAACTAAAAGAATAAAATAAATTCTCAAAAGGCAGATATAAAAAAACAGCAATCTCCATAGGCCATTTTTTTAATAAAAAGTTTTTTTTTTCTTTTTCATTTTTGTGGGTGCATAGTAGGTATATACATTTATGGGGAACATAGGATGTTTTGATACAGGCATGCAATGCATAATAGTCACATCAGGGTAAATGGGGTAGCCATCACCTCAAGCATTTTATCCTTTGTGTTACAAACAGCCTGATTATATTCTTTAAGTTATTTAAAAATGTAGAATTAAGTTATTATTGACCATATTCACTCTGTTTTGCTATCAAATAGTAGGTCTTATTCATTCTTTCTACTATTTTATACTCATTTACCATCCCCACCTCCCCACCTTCCCCCGACTACATTTCCCAGCCTCTCGTAAGCATCTTTGTATATCCTATGTCCATGAGTTCAATTGTTTCGATTTTTAGATCCCACAAATAAGTGAAAACATGTGATGTTTGTCTTTCTGTGCCTGGCTTATTTCACTTAACATAATGATTTCCACTTCCATCCATGCTGTTGCAAGTGACCGAATCTCATTCTTTTTTATGGCTCAATAGTTACCCACTGTGTATACATACTACATTTTCTTTATCCATTCATCTCTTGATGGACATTTAGGTTGCTTTCAAATCTTAGCTAGTGTAAACAGTGCTGCAACAAATACAGGAGTACAGATACCTCTTTGATACACTGATTTCCTTTCTTTTGCATATATACTCAGCAGTAGGATTGCTGGATCTTCTAGTAGCTCAATTTTTAGTTTTGTGAGGAACCTCCAAACTGTTCTCCATAATGGCTGTAGTAATTTACATGCCCACCAACAGTGTACATCAGTTCCCTTTTCTTCATATCCTCCCTAGCATTTGTTATTGCCTGTTTTTTTGGTTATAAGCCATTTTAACTGGGCAAGATGATACCTCGTTGTAGTTTTGATTTGCATTTCTCTGATCAATGATGCTGAGCATCTTTTCATCTGCCCGTTTGCCATTTGTGTGTCTTTTTCTTTTGAGAAATGTCTATTCAAATCTTTTGCCCATTTTTGGTCCCGTTTTCTTTTCTGCTCCAACGGGACAGCACCAAGTCCAATGCATCACAATTGCTGTGTTCTCCCTCCCCCAGTGCCCAGAGATGTTCTCTGAAACATGCTACTGCTGCTGGGGGTTGGCAGGGTGGTGGTGTCTGCAACTCTAGACTGTTCCATCTAGCTCCTCAGTGTCCTTTCAGCAATATGAAGTTACAGCCAGGTACTATATGAGTTCTCATATGATTTTTGGTTCTGACGAAGGTATTTTTTTCTGTGTAGATAGCTGTTAACTTGGTGTCAGTACGGTGGAAGGGGACAATCGGTGGAATCT